GAAAGAGTATATATATATATATATTTATATATATATATATATATATATATATATATATATATATATATATATATATATATATATATATATATATATACCATATATATATACCAAATTATATTTATGTCTTCCGTCTCAACGAACAATCTTAAACTATGTATTATACATGAAGACACACGAACCCTTCTTCCAAATTCGATATCATTTCTATTATATAAGTAAATCACAAAACGAACTTTTTTAAGACTTTTATTCTTATCCTACGTTTCGGGACATGCCCCTTTATCAAGGATAAATAACAGAGTTAAATGTACATGCTTTTATATCCTATTCAATTCATTAACATAAATTACCCAAAATCCCTTACATTTAATCCCTTAGGTGCAAAGAGAGGCATTTTGGGCATATAATTTGGACACGTTTGCACCTAAGGGATTAAATGTAAGGAATTTTGGGTAATTTATGTTAATGAATTGAATAGGATATAAAAGCATGTACATCTAACTCTGTTATTTATCCTTGATAAAGGGGCATGCCTCGAAACGTAGGATAAGAATTAAAGTCTTAAAAAAGTTCGTTTTGTGATTTATATATATATATATATATATATATATATATATATATATATATATATATATATATATATATATATATATATATAGCTACAGTATCATTGGGACATAGCGTTGTGAAGACAAGCATTTGCTTACCTTTCGCTTCAGCAGTCTTTTCCATGCTTCTCTACGCTTTCCCAGGCGAGCTTCTCTTTCCTCAGCAGTCTCCTCGAGGAAACGTTGTCGTCTTCGCGTCCTTCTTTTCGCTAGACGCTCGGCTTTCTTGTCGTTTCCTTGCCGCTCTTCATTTGGCTCCATATCTTTTCAATTGGTATTTGATACCGTAATTGTTTGATAAAAGTTTTAATAAAACTAATTGCTTTTAAAGCTGCCAAATGTTTTTGCAAATGTACAAAAAACTGTAGCGCAAAAAGCAAAATATTTTCATGATGTATCTGTCAGTTAAAGTCGTCATTCGTCATACAACAACAAATTTTAAATTTGACCAATCGGTGTTCGCTATTCATGACAGTCCGCCATATTTTTGAGATCAGTGAGGATGACCACCCACGCACAGTGACCCACGCCCGCCATATTTGATGAACTTTAGACTTCCCTAATGCTTTCGTTTCCCCGGGTGTAAATAGCCGGGGGGAATTTGTACCCTCGCACGGCGCTTCACGCCGCCGGCTCGGGGATTAAATTCGCAATGTTGATTTGCACTCCGTTCTGCGCATCACTTCTTCTCAAAACAAAGGGGGATCACCAGATATAAACATTGCCCAAATGCTGCAGCTTTCGAACTTTTTTTAATTGAAACGTAGAGTTTATATTCATATACAAGCACAGCGAACCTACATACAGAATGTGTACTATAGCAGAAACGTGCATGGCCGAATATATTGTTTAAGCTGCATGCCCAGTGTGAGTATACACTCAGAGTAACATCACAAGCATTATATTTACCTGAATACACAACATCAACACAAAAAATATTGTTTGTTAAGCTGGATTCCAATTTTAAATCAGAATTTTTTATCAAATTTCTTCTAGCCAGTCTAAATATTAGCAGAGTTTGTTTTGATTAAATAGGCATATTAATTATTGAAAGCACAAGTAAATAAGGGTCTGATGCCTGGTCATGTGTGTATGCATGCATTGGGGGGGGGGGGAGATGTTACGTTTTTTAGAATTTATTTGAAGGGAGTCATTGAATTTTTTGTAATGCAGGAGGGGGACAGGACATTTTGTTTAGTTGTTAATTGAATTTTGCCAGCCCACCCCAGTCAGGAATAATGAATGGTCCCTAATGACGGATTTTACAACTCGTACGAGCGTTGAACTTTAAAAAGTACATGATTCTGTTGAGGAAGCATTACCATGCCCTCTCATCTTCGTTTGATTATATTTTTTCGAAAGAAACACTTGCTTAACTTGAATTTACTGATGATAAAACAATTTAAACAACACTAAATGATAAATCTTTATTAAGCCCTAAGGGTAATTTGACACGTATGTTGGCAAAGTATTTTGCATTGTTGTAGAAATTTTTAGTCTAAGGAAACGTGGTATGTGTTTTTTCCATGCTGTGAAAGGACAGCATATTTGTCGTTGGCATCTTCATTTCCCCATGGTGTTGTTGTCGCTGGACAATCAATCAATCAATCGATCAGTCAGCCAATCAATGATTTATTTATTCACGTTACACTTAGGAGCAGAGACTCCTTAAAACGCGCATGCAGTGGCGTAAAGCTCATTATTAGGCAGGGTTAGGTTCAAAAACTTTAAGTGCCCCTGACAGTTAGAGGCCCCATCAGCCACGGCCTCTTACCCATCAATTTGGGAAAATGCAAAATTAATGATGCTAAATAACAAAGCTTCCATTGACAACAGTAGCTGATTCTTTTATTCCATTAGTTATTGATTGATTGATTGATTGCATGATTGATAATACCATTTATTTAGCAACACCAACATCACAAGTTGTGTTTTGCCGAAGGTCCCAGAGAAAACTATACAACTAAGATAATTATATATTACAATGAAGAGCTAGTTGCAAAATGCGTTTGATTGTACTATGGAGATTAACGGAATTTTCCAGAACATTCTATAAATATTCAATATTAAAATAATATAATTTTTCAGTCAAACAATGACAACAGGGGCCCCACACCAAGTTATGCCACTGCGCGCACATGTCAAGATTTCAATTAATTAAACTGCTTCGTACCTATGATTAGATTGTTATTCTATTTCTAGGCTCCATTAGAGATCAAATTGGATCATAAATTGGATGATGGCAACGGAAAGAGATCTACCTGAAGCCATTCGGGAATCATATACTGCACCTGATTTTGGTATGCATTTAAATAGACTTGTTAAATTTCACTTTGTTTTGTTCTCTAATTGGTTGAAGGGTTTTAAAGATGAAAATTTGAAATGTAAATTTTATACATTTATTAAACCTTATCAGGTTATCAGGAGCGGTATAAAATTCACACTTGTAACGTCTCTCGAAATACACTCAAACATCTATACAAATCTCTTTAACAATTAGTTGTATCGAGTGAGATGCCCCAAACCCTGATATTCGCTTTATTTTGGTGTTTAATTTAATTTAAAATGTACATTACACACACTTATTGCACGGTCATTTTAGAATGAGTGGTTCTTTAAATTTCAAATATTGAGATCTATACATAGGCGTCGACCAATAAAAAATTTATTTCAAATATTGAGATCTACATAGCCCCCCCCCCCACCCCCCTCCCCCAAAGGAAAACCATCGAAATTCAGGCAAATGCTAGGAAAAATCTAGAAAATTCGGGCAGATGCATCACCCTGCAAAGCATCAACCATGTATGCCTTTGAAGATCTACAGGGTGTCTAAAAAAACGCTATGGAAATTCAACAGGCTGCCGGACATCATCAACTTGGCTAAACAATTCAATTTTTACATAGGACGAAAGAACAGTTATTTAGCTTTACAACGATACTCTTTTTAAATCGAAACGATGAGAAATGGCCAGATACTCTTCAAATAGAAATTGCCGGTCGAAATCACATTCTTCCACCGTACGCGTTGGGAATTGCATGGAAAACGAAACATAGACAATTCCAAAAGAGAGAATTAAAGTTGAATGTTAAATTACCTAAAATGTGCTCCAACTCCTCAATCCTTGTCTTAGTGGGACAATAAGAACGTCATTATTGGATTTAAACATGTTCAATTAACCACTGAACAGAGAACATTCGTAATCAAAACGTTTTACGAAACAAATACTTTCTACCGCAGGCTCGCGTTGCTTTTGGATTGATAACATAATTAATGTATTTTCAATTCCAAACGATTGAAGAATGTGATTTCGACCGAAAATTTTCATTTGGCGAGTATGTGGCTATTTCGTATCGTTACGGTTTAAGAAAGTATCATAGAAAAGCTAAGCTCTTTCATCCTATCTAAAAATTGAATTGTTTAGCCAAGTTTGTGATACACAACAGCCTGTTGAATTTCCATAGCGTTTTTTGTTGAATTTCCATAGCCTGTGGAAAAAGGTTTCGGATGTTATGTTTGGTTTATTGGCATTTGCTTCAATTTCTATTTGTATTTTGGTAATATTTAGATATTGAAAGAACTTTGCCTTGGTTGGATGGAGGCAGACATTATTTACAAGGCTCTCACAAAGGTAACTATAAATAATCCTTTAGAATGCATTTTCGTTGAAAAGGAAAAGATGAACGCTAGATAACAGAGGAACAGGCGAACCCCTGTTCAGATCAGTCAGCTCGTTATTGACGTTGATGTTGAATACTACAGTTGAACTGGTGACGAACTATTGCTATAGGATACTTAACTATGAAATGACCCATTGAGTCTCGAGGGCAGGTCATTTTGGTCGCGTGAGGGGCCTATGAGGACCTGGATGACCTGTAAGATGCACTCCACATGGCGAAGTATTGTTGTTTAACAGAGATTTTTATACCCTTTTAATACACTTTTAAAATTATCAAAGCTCGCAAACAAAAATCCTGGAAGAAAAAATATACATGATATACAAGAGGACCATTGTGTAAAACACAGGAAAAACCTCAGCAGAATTATTTCTCATGGGTTATAGATTGAGAACTGCATGAACACGTGCTAAGTTGTCAGAGTTCAATTTTTTAGGCATTTTATAAATATCGCCATCGAAACAGATTTAGTACATTTAGTAAATTGTGCAGATTGAGTAGCAATACATTTAGGGGTAAATGGGAGTTTCTGGGACATATTACTTCATTGACCACAATTTATAGCCTTGCTTAAATGAATATTTTTTATGTTATGCTCATTTGAATGAACGTTAAAGCAGCGATTCATCAGCGATTGTGTTTGCTTGTCTTGTATTTGAACTATTAGTTAAAATAGCGACAATGAAAGTAGTTTATTTTTGCAAATGAACAGGTTTGAAAACTACTGAAATAAATTCCTTCGCCATGTGGGTTGTTGAGAATTATATGTGATGTGTCCAGCAGTTCCAGTGGCGTAGCAAGCTCGATAATTGGGGGGGGGGGGCGGGGGGCACATATTCACATATTCGTGTTCATTGAGCTTAAAAACAATTGATTTCAAAAGACATTAGGCTAATAAGGCAGAACAGGAATATATGAATATTTGCCCCCCCCCCCCAATTATCGAGTTTGCTACGCCACTGAGCAGTTCTTTTTGACAGCTCGCTTGTATTTTAGTAGCTCTTTGCATAATATATATAATAATATATATAATATATAATATATATAATCTATCATCATTTATCTACTGTATTTTTAAGATTTTATTGACTCAATTTCGCATAAAGACGACAAAGTTGGAAATACTGTCAAGGTAATTAAAAGTGGTCCTTAGCCGATTTATGAACACGGA